ATTGTCTCCTACAAGATGCAAACCTGATTAGAAGGGCAGTAATCTGAACAGTACGTTACAAGCAGATGTTACTCAACGTTTTGCAGCATTTCTAATAAATATATCTCTGAACAGTCTCTGCTGCAGTGTAGGTTGAGAAGAGGGCATGAAATCAACATGACACAACACTTCATTTTTGAAATCTATTTGGCCAGAGCATTAAATTGTCATTAACCAAGGAGTTTTCCCTTTTGGGGCATTTAAGTTTCTAGTTGTAGTCCTCTTTGTGTTTATTCAGTTTGCTGACTTCTTTTGGGGTGAAAGAGGGGGGAGGTGTGGTTAGAAAATGAAAATATTTCCCTTTTTGGGTTTAAAACTGGTAACTCTGTGGTGATAATATATTTGTGTTTCTTTGGTTTGCTGTTGACACCAGTCTGCTGCAATTCCCTGCCTGTTGTTGGCACTGAACCCAAGACACTGCAGTGAGAAGGTGCCTGCAGAGACTTTCTTCCATTGAATTGGGCCATGTTAGACTACAAAGTGGCTAAGACTAATGTCCACTTGGAGGAAAGGGCTCTGTGTGTTCACAACAACTCAACACAAACTGAAGAATAAAGGAAGATACTTGCTCTTTCCTGAAAAATGACAATGTGTGAGAGCAGTGGGGTCACCCTGTTGAAATACCTGCTGGGACTGAAGCTTGGAAGAATCCTGAGCTGTTACTGTAGCTTGTGAGTTTCTAATCACTGCAAAATTAATTCTTTTTTTAAAAATAATTTTGAGCCTGTACAAAATGCAGGAATGTACATTTCCTGCCATGGTAAGTCCAAGGAGGAGATGGTGGCTAAGGAGGAATCTGAGGGCTAAAGAGCTAGAAATTCAGAAGCCCTGTGCAGAGATCCTTTGTGGTGAATGAGGGGTGTGAAGCTGATGAGCTTAGAGGCAGTTAATTGCCTGGTGCTTGTGATGATGTTACGGCTGGAAAAATAAAAATGCTTGCTCAAGCTTCAGGTGGCCACCAAATGGAGAGGTCAGAGTCCCTTCTCATATGCAGGCACCTTTACAAAGACACAGGCTTCTCCCTGTGTGCTGCTTTGTTCTGGCCAGTGCTTGCACAGGGTGGTGGATGCTACATCCAACATGCCATGGCTGAGTACCCCTGCCCCTGGCAGAGCAAGGTGCTACAAAGCTGAGCAGATGGCTGTGTGGGGAGTTTTGTGGGAACAAACAAGTACTTGGAATTTTCAATCCTGTTGCTAGTTACTCAAGCACCTACCATGTCTCTGCTGCTGTCAGTGAGAGGTGGGCTCAGCGTTTCCTTGGAGAGCAGTTGAGAGCTCCTAGCATGTGGACAAAACATGTAGCTTCATCCAGAGTGAGCAGGCTCTCCAAGTAGTAGGATTGCTCCATGGGTTGTTCCTGATTTTATCCCAGTTTTTCTAGAGAAGGTGGCAGTTAGACTAGACAAAGGGAATTTAGGATGCTTCCATGGATTCCTCAAAAACTAGGTTATCTGGATGACCCGTTCCCCACCTTATTTGCTGTGTGTTGTCAGCAGTAAGAGCTCTAGGTCGGTCTGTTAAGAGATGCTTGTTTGGCTGGTGTGCCAGCATTGATACAGTCAGGATGGTGGGAAACTTGTCCTATTTGATGTGTGTTCAGTCCAGGTCTGCTCCTGAGAGCTAAACATAATGTGCCTTAAATTCCTGGACCAGCAGGTCAGCAGCTGTAGGTAAAGGTTGGGTGGTTTTGGCCTGTCAGTGTCCTTTTTCAGTTTGTTTTCCAGTGAGTGTGACTGTGGCAGCAATTAAAAAATATTTTTTAAGCCTTTTGGGAAGTCAGTTGTATTAGTTATACTGTGGTTTAGTTTTTGTCTTGGGAAAAGAAATTACTTTATAAATTTGAAAATTAAGTACAATGGTATAATCATTCCTAGGAAGTGTGAATTCCTGTGGATATTGACATGCATAAAAGGTCTGGCTTTTTTGTGGTATAGGTGATATAGACATCTAACCTAGAAATATTTCCTTTTCCTTCTCCCTTTAAATTGATGTTACCATTAGTGTTTCAGTAAATATTGGAAACAGCAGGATTTGGAAGATAGAGGGTTATATAGAGCAATAGGAAGGCTGTACCTTTGGGAAATCTAAATAAGCAGCCAAATAATCCAGATTCCAATTTAGTGGGTAAAGCAAATATGTAGTATTTAAAATTGCAGTAGATAAGAAGCAATCTGACACCAGAAGCAAAGAAGAAACAGCCCAAAGCCATAATCACCTGATGTTTTCAGTCATTCTGGTCATCTTGTTTTTAAATCCAAGCAGAAAGTCAATTGCTGCAGAATTCTCATTGTTTCATTGCTCTTTTTGTGTGTAATTGCAAAAAAAAAAAAAAAAAGCCAAATGGCTGCCACATTGGTAAACAGGCTGTTGATTCCTTTTGAAAAAGGAAGAATCTGTTCTTTTCAAACTTACTGTTTTGGTTTAAACTGGAGTATAGAAGGCAAAAGAGGTGGGTTGGCCTGGAAGTTGCATGCTGATTTCCTTGTGAAGGAAGAAACTACCTGAGAAATTATTTCGTGTTTGTGTATTTTTGGATTCTGGCTGAAGATTATTGTTTACTTTTCTGAGAAATGCCTGATACACCATCCATCCCCAGCTTTTTCCCATCCTCTGAACACCTTGATTTGATCAGCTTCCAGACACTGATTAGGAATGACTGCCTTAACCAGCAGCAGCCTGGGCCCTAGGTTGGTGGCAGATCCTGGTGCTGTCAGAGCCTTGCAGCCAGCACTTAGGCTGTGCTGGGTTTGTGGCACAGTGTGTCTGGAGGTTCCTGGCCAGCTGTGAGGAGCTGTGACCATCAGGCAAACATCACCTGGCCCTTGGGCCAAGCCCTTGCTGGCACCAACACTTGGTTTTGCTGTTGCTCCAGCCCCAGCTGGTGGTGCCCACACAGTGTTCAGCCTAGGGTGACTGATGCAGCCCCCTTGGCATTGTTGCACACAGTGGCTGTCAGAGAGGTGAGTTACTGTCACTGTTCAATTATCCATTCTTCAATCAGCCTGGCTGCTGGGTGGGCTGTGCCCTAGAGGGGGAAGGACATCTCCAGAGCAAATGTGTTTTCCCCAGCTTGAGACCAAAGGTTTTGCTTTTCCTCCTGCTCATTCTCTTCAAATAGAAATCTGTCAGTCAGTTGCACTCCTGGAAACATCTCTGTGCAGCTGCAGGGCTCTGACATTGGGAAAAACTTGTTTTGGATGAATTCCAGTGGCACGACCAGCCTGAGCTGCTCTGTCTGCCCTTGCCATTTCAGTTTGCTGCTGCCAAGTTTTTCTGCTCCCTGGATTCCTAAGGGAACCACCTCACTGAAGAGTCATCAGGGAATTGTTCTCCTAGCTCTGGTTGTCAGACAGTAAATGGGGGGGATGAAGGTGTAGGAGTAAAATGAATAGATGAATCTCCTTCCCATACCTGAGCTTACAGGTTGGATTTGGAAATAAAGAAGAAAACACTTCATTCAAATTTAAGTTAAAGCCATAGAGCTTTTATTTTTTGCCTGAATGGCTACACTAGAAGTTAGATGGGGCTGAATGTGGAGCTTCTGTGTCACTAGAGAGTGATTTTCTCTCAGCATAGGTGTGACACATCAAGGTGAGTACTGCTTTCCAAAAACAGGTAAAAGCTCTCCTGTATTGATGTCCCAGTGATCTGCTTTGCTGGCATTATTTATGGGGAAAGCCCTGATGAAGAGGGGCTGTTTCTGCTTAAGCCAAGGGGGGGGCACTTGGGGAGACCTTTTCAAATGCCCAAATGGCAGTGACCATCAATCTTAAATTTTAGTGGGATTTATGAGTCCAGATTATGGGTTTGATCCTGGCTGTGGGGAGGGAGGGAGTATTTCAAACCAAGACACGTGTTGGAAACCATCCTTGTCCCTGCATCCCTATTTCTATCTAGTTACGTTAGTTTGTGATGTCCCCTTTGGGACTGTTGTCTTGTCTGTTTCCCTTTGTGTGCCTCAAAACACATTGTGGGGCAAAACCCCCAAGACCTGTATCCCCATGGTGGCTGTTGGCAGGTTCCACATCCCACTTCTTCAGTTCATGTCAGGAGGTGGTGCCCTCGAGGGCAGGACAAGAGGGATCATGACCTCGTGTCATCTTCCCTGCAGCCCAGACAGGGCCAAGCGTCTCTCTCGCCCAGTCCCTGATTTTCATAGACCTTAGAGGAACCTAATTATGTTGGAGATGCTGTGTAGGATTGTCTTGTGCCATGACAGCTTGGGAGAGGAAAGACTGGGGAGTGACAGGGCATCGTGCACTTACTTGCTTTTTGAAACCATCCAGAATGTTTCAGTACTGCCATGTGTATCTGACTGGGCACGGTGGGTCATCTTGGAGAACCCTCTTCAGAGGGCAACCTGAAGGGATGTGTTTGTCAGCAAGGAGCACGTGGGCAGCCTGGCTGGTGGGCCTAGGGCAGAGCCCCTGAGCTCTGCAGTGGCTGTGAAATGGTACCCAAGGCCTGAAGGCAGGGATTTGAAACTGCAAAGTACTTTTCCTTTTGCCTGTGCTGACTGTTTTTGTGATTAGACTGGTAAGTTTGTGGAGACTCAAAGCAGAAGCACTTCACAAAATAGGTAGTCTGTTTTTTGGGTTTTTTTTTTAAATAAAAATAAAAGAATCTTGCCAGCCCCCTGGCTCCTGTTTCCCTGGAGAGAAGCAGCTGCGTAATGAGTGTGCTTGAAAAGCTGGTTCTAGAGAACCTCCATGCCCCAAAAATGCTACTATTGTGTTTCCAGACATCTTGTGCTTGGAGTAGAGCTGGAAGGTCTGACTATCAATCCATTTTGTGATCATTGTTTGAAACATTAGGCCTGATTTTAGCTCATTTCTCTCAGTACAGAATACATGTTTTACATCAGCTCTTGGTACAAGTGGCTGTGGTGTGTGTGGAATTGGTGTTGACTTTTAAGAGTGTATTTCAAGTTTTGTTTTGCATTTTTCTTTGGACCTGCAGGTTCTCCTGGAAAACAAGTGGATAACTCATCCAGCAATCAAGGAAATAACTTAGGGACCCAAACCAAAGCTGGAAAGCTGAGCCATGCTTTTAGAGATCCCCGGCCCGGGAGGAAAACTGCAGAAGGACAAATGATGAAGGGTGCTGATGAGTCAGAGAGTGATTTTGAATCTGATCCTCCTTCTCCCAAGAGCAGTGAGGAAGAAGAAGAACAGGAGGATGAAGAAGTCTTGCAAGGAGAGAATGGAGACTTCAACGATGACAATGATACAGAACCAGAGAATTTTGGCCACCGACCTCTCCTCATGGACTCTGAGGAAGAGGTGGAGGAAGAGGAGGAGGAGAAGCAAAGTTCTGACTCTGATTCTGATCGTACCAAGCAGAACTCTGTGGAAGGTCTCCTGAGCAGTAGGTTCAGGGATGGTGTGGGAAGCAGTGACATCAGTGAACCCAGCTCAATGCATACATCCTTGCCTGAGGTGCCAAGTACTGTAATCAAGGTGAACCCTGGCCAAGAATTCGATGTGTTTGGGGCAGTGCCCTTTTCTACTCTGCAGCCTCAGCCCAGAGAGAAGGTGGACAAAGATGTCTCTTCTCAGACGGCTTTTCCCAGCCTGCAGCAGGAGCAGGATGACTTTGATGTTTTCACAAAAGCCCCCTTCAGCAAGAAGGTGCCTCAGCAAGATGGCCAGGTGGCAGGAACGGAGCCTCTGCTCTCCCCCACCTCCCCGCGGAGCGTCGATATCTTTGGCTGCACCCCCTTCCAGCCTGCCCTCCTCCCCAAGGGTGCTGGGAGCAGAGAGGACCCCTTTGGGCTGGTTCCTTTTGAGGACATCACCGGGAGCCAGCAGCAGAAGGTGAAGCAGCAGCGTAACCTGCAGAAACTTTCCTCCCGCCAGAGGCGCATGAAGCAGGAGGCCTCCAAGAGCAACGGGAAGAGGCACCACGGCACCCCCACCACCACCAAGAAGGCCTCCAAGCCGAGCTACCGCACCCCGGAGCGAACCCGCCGGCACAAGAAGGCAGGTCGCAGGGACTCCCAGAGCAGCAACGAGTTCCTGACCATCTCAGACTCCAAAGAGAACATCAGCCTTGCCTTGACGGAAAGCAAAGACCGACCCAACCCTCTGCAAACCGATGAGAGCCTCTTGGATCCTTTCGGAGCCAAACCTTTCCACCCGCCGGATTTGATGCGGCACCCCCAGCACCAGGGGCTGGGGGAGGCTGGGAGGGCCCGGCAGAGCTCCTTGCACGGGGCCCTTCATGGTGGGGAGGGGCTGAAAACAGATGACTTTGGTGCAGTGCCCTTCACGGAACTGGTGGTGCAGAGCGTGCAGGGCCAGCAGCAACAGGCACTGGAGTTAGATCCCTTTGGAGCAGCTCCCTTCCCTTCTAAACAGTAAACACTTCCGATGGCTTCTCCTCCACCCCCTCCTCCTCCTCTCTGTGTTACTTCACAGAGGTTTTAATTAGTGGAGTAATTTACCTGGTTGAATAGACAGGGACCCAGGTTGGAGAAGGCCTGGCCAGCGTGCGTCGTGAAATTCAGAATGATGGCAAATTTCTGTTGGTTTTTGTAGAAAAGTAGAAACACACACCCCCAACAAACCAGGAGCATCATTCTGTTATGACAAATGGCTCCCAGAGTGGCAGGAGAAATCAGATCTGCATCCTGGTCTGTCACTGACTTCGGGCCCTGGAACAGACTGACATTCAGCACTTTTGAGCTGCCTTTTCATTCTGGGCTGAGGTGGAGGGAGGGGGTCGGGCAGGGATCACATGGGAAGCATTTGCCACACAAACAGGTGGGATGATGGAACTGAGGTGGTTCTTTGTGTCTCAGTCACAGCAGACCTAAGAACCAAAATGGACTAATATCCAGATGGGTCTGCTGGAAATAGTCAAATCTTTTGCTTCCTAGATGCAAACTACCTGTATTAATCATAAAAATAAAGAAGCCAAGTCCTCAAGGGGCTGTGGCCCAGAATTCCAGAGCACAGCTGTGGCTTGGGACCCAGTAGACATCTACGCAGCTGTGAAGATGAAAGGCAGATGATTTTTTTTTTGTGTGCCTAAACATTCAATTATATATTTTTTTTTTACAGTAAGTGCCATTAATGTAAAATAGCAAACTGGAAGCTCAGAGTTAGAATGAGAGAGACAGAGAATTCTAATGTTTTGTGAGACACACAACCTGGATGTAGGGGAGTGAACCAGCAGGGATGCAGCCCAGTGTTGGCAGCACTTTGAGAACTACTCAGTAGGCTGGGAGGAGAGGGGCTGGTTTACATGAGGAAATGATTTGGCACCTAGGGGTATTTCAGATGACAGTTGACTGTGAGATGCAACCATTGGATTTATTTCACTGGGATTTGTGTCTGAAAATACTTTTTTCTTCTCGGATTTTTATGGCAAAGGAAACGTGTGTTCTTTCAAACCTGGTTTTTTTAAACAAGAATAATGCTATGAAATGGCTGTAAGCTCACGTTCTTTCTGAGTTCTGATGAATCTATTCTTGTACTTAATGTGTATTTGTTAAGAAAGTTTTGCTACACACACTGAACTTTGGAGAAACTTCTCTGCCCCTGAACTGGCTTGGGGACAGCAGCAGTGAGTCTGCAGGAGCTGATCCCCCCCCACTGCACCTAGAGCTGCCTTTCCCACCACGATGCCTTAAGGACAGGATTTCTGTCCCACCACATGGTACCTCGGGGACATCAGTGCAGGAAACCTGGCTCCAGGTTGGAGCTCAGGGGGTGCTGGGCAAGGAGATGTGACCAGACTCTTCGAGGACAAGATGTGGCTCCGTGACGCAGCTGGGACAGCCCCTCTGTGCTGCTGAGCCACCTGCACCCTCTGCAGAGCAAGCCCCTTGGTCTGCTTGTTCTCCCTGGCAATCTGAAAGAAGAAGTGGAAGGAGGCAGTTCCTCTCTGTTGTTTCAACTTTCTGTCCTGCTCTCCTGAATGCTGAGAAGGAATTGGATGCCTGCATATGGGGGATGTAAGCATTTGTGGTTGTGTGTGTCCCCCCCCCTTTCACAGGAGGGGAAGTGAAATACTGAAGGTTGGGCATTTGTGTTCCCAGTCTCTTGCTGGTTATACAGTCGTTCTGAGGTGTGTGAGGGTGGGGGTGGATCCCTTACAATATGAAAACAGCACATTAAAAACAAGTTGTTTGGTTTCTTCAGGGGTTGGTTTGATCAAACTCTCCCTTGGTGAGAGGGTTTCTCCTGGTCTTGGCATATCTGTACACCTTCATTGCCTTTATCTTCCTCATTTTCATGCTTCTCACAGGGTGGAAGTGAACTGTTACAGCTGTGCTTGGTTCAGAAAGCCTTTCCCAGGCTTAGAAAATAAGCTCTTAAGAGGTTATGACTAGAAATGTCTCAACTCTGTTTGCACAGCCGTTTCCTAGGCTTTATTACTACTGTTCTCACCTGTTTTTTTGTGCCAAAGGCTGCAAGAAGCACACACCAAGTTTTGTAGCATTTTCTGATACTCAGGTTAACTGTCTTTTGTTTTCCATTTTTTCTCTGCACGTGCTTATGAGCTGCCTTCCCCTGCTTTCCTTCCCAGCTGGTCCTTGCCTGCCTGTAGAGAGTTGATGTGGCAAAGAGGGGGGCAGGTGGGTGGAAACAAAAGGAGAAGAAAAAACAGGCAACTGCCCCCTGGTCTGAAATGCAACCAGTCCTCAAGGAAGCCACAAGCTGCTGCTTTCCCTGGTGGAAAAGCAACTTGAGGGTTTGCTTGGCTGTTTTGTGCCAGAGGAAAGAGGGAAGGGGGGGTGGGGCTTTTTCAGGAGAGCTGGCTGCCCAGGGCAGGTCTCCTGTGGGCCTGAATGTTCAAGTAAATGAAGAACAGAAGGAAGTGTGTTTGCTTGGTGGCTTTTGACCCCTTGGGGCTGTGGAGCACTACCGGTGTGCCTTGTGTGGTGGTTTGGGTTTTGGCAGAGGGTCTGTCAGTGGTGATATCACAGGACAGGAAGGCTGATGTGAGGTTGTCCACAGCAGCTGAGAGATGAGATAAAAGCCACCTCTAAACCCAAGTGACTCCCAAAGTGGTGTAATGCCTCTGGCTGCAGAGGTGTTACAGCCAATGAGATTTGCTTTCTAGTGGCCTTAATAAACCTTCTTCTTTGTATTCTAGTTATAAAACAGGTTTTTGCTTAAATGTAGCTTTTTTGTTTCTAGAGTTAAAAGTTGTTTTACCCTTGTGACAGAAAAGAGATGGGTCTGTCTCACTGAATGAGCATGTGTGACTTGGTTTGTTTATACACAACAAAACCCAAGTTTGGGTTTAATTTCAGCTAAGAGCCACCATTCAACAGAGACCAAACGTGGCACCCTGGGGGGAATGTGATACCGTTTTGCCTTGATTTCGTGTGAGTGCCATGTCTCTGCTTGGTGTGGAGTGTATGATGACCTTACCTGGAACCTGGGAAGACCCTTCTGCACTGGGCATGTGAAGCCAGCAGTGGTGAGGTGGCACTTCCAAGGATATCCATGGGTTTTGACAGCGTTTCTTTCAGTGCGTTGGAACGACTGGACCACAGGCTGTTTAGAGTCAGTTGCTTGAGGGAGAGATTCTGTCAAAAGGCACAAAGAAGCTCCTAAGGGCTGTGGTCAGTGTCAGAAAAATCAGATGGTTGTGTTTCTCTGCAGCCTCTCCAACAGCCTTGGTGTGTGCAGTGGCCTTGGCTGCCCTGCCCAGTGCAGGACCCATCAATACCAGCTTTGGAGGAAGGAACTTTTAATCACTCTGGGCATCCCAGTTAGTAAAACCCAAGTACTGTGAAAATAAGTTGATATATTTACTACTGTGAGAAAAAAATAAGAGTTTATCTGGAGTTTTTTTATACTATATAGTGTATTTTTATATATGGAAAGTATATATAAAAGATACACATGCTCGCACACATCATGTATCTCTTGGAGTTGCTGTGTTTTTAGTAACAGAGCAGCCACAATCACTGTCGTGTGACTTGAGGGAGTGAATATGAGTGAAAGCTGTGAAAGAAAAACAAGTGCAAGGGGTGGCTGCTGCATCACTTTTCTGTAGTGCTTATTTTGAAAGGAGAATCAAGGAAATGGTGTGTATAGCTAAATCTGTGACTAAAGCATCACTTTAATATTAAAAAGAGCATAAAAACTATTTTTAAATTGCTGGCATTCAGCTTTTAAGTGCACTTTCCTGACCTACACTTCCACTTCCTGTTAGATTTCAAGTTTCTAAAGCTTTTTTTTTTGTGTACCACTAAACAGAGAACTTTAACTTTTTTGTGGCACTGATGTATGTCATAAAATACTTGCAGTTGCTAAATAAACAAAGGTGATAACAGTGACTTTGCAGATCTCCTTAAACATTTGCATTCTTGAGCTCTCCCACTTAGGCTTTACTCTAAGCAATGCTGCTTCTCCTGGTGGCTTTTTGTGGCTGTAGCCTCCTCTCACTCTTCTTTAAAAGGTTTTAATATACTTGTATTTGCTGCCCAATCGTCTTTCTTTGTCCAACTTGTTAAAAACCTGCCAATCACGTTCTATTTTTAACTCCTTAGCTTCAGAATCACTTTAAAGCCTTCCTGCAGAAGGGTTGTGCAAGGATGCATTCCAGCTTCTAGGCAGGCACTGCAGCTTGCTCCCTGTTCCTTAGCCAGAATGTTACATCCACTTCCCAAAATCTCCAGATTTTGTTCTGCACCTCATCTTCCAGACAAAACTGGAATGTGATTAGACACATTCTTCTTCTAGCAGTTGTTTACCAGAGCAGTTTTTCTGGATGCTGCTTGTACTGATTTTACTTTTCAGGTAAGCTGGAGTATGACTGCAAGTGGCCAAGAGGAGGGAGCAGCACCAGGACTCAGTTCCTCAACAGGAGCTCGTGTCCTGGCTGCTCTGTCTTCTGCCCATTGCCCATTCCAGTCTAATTTTGGTATGAGAAAATCCACAGGGGAAACAGTTTAACCAGAGGCTTCTGCCCACAACTGTGGGCTCAGCTTTTCTGCCTGTGCCATCTCTGATGGTTGGTTGGTTTGTTTTCAGCCCTTGCAGTTAAAAAAGCTGTTAAAACATGGTCTGGTTATGCATTGTTTTCTTAGGTTGTCACAGTATCACTGCTAGCACTTGATGTCTCATCACTGTTCTTTGCCTGCAGTGTAACTGCTTGTGTTTAGGGCAAAAGCACTTTTACAAAGCTGAGGTGGGAAGAATTGTCACTTCAGCTGAAGCAGAGCCAGGATGAACCTCTCCTTTTGCTCAGGACACAGCAAGGGAAATGGCCCCAGCTCTTAGGGTACAAGCAGAGCCCTGCTTGGAATGGATCTGGATCTAAAGGAGGTAGGTTGCCCAGCTGAGCTCAGCAGCTTCATCTAGAGATGCTCCTCCAAAACCAGAAGCACCAGTAGCAGCATATACCACACACATCACTTGAGTAGTGCAGTTAGAGCCCTACTATCTGTGTCTTGATAATGCTTGAGACCATCAGTCTCTGTATGTAAAACCCAGGGGAGGGGACTAAAGTGGCTCAGTCGAGCAATTCCCATCTGTCACTTCACTACGTGAGCTGCAAGGATGGTGTTAACTCCAGGTAAACAGCAAATGAACTGAAATTTATTTACAGGTTCAGTATATACATAGAAAGAAGACCATCATGCAGCTTGATAAATTTTGTCAGGGGAATAAAAGCATAGAGCTTTGCAGCCAGTTTCTCTACCCAGTGGAAACTGCTACAGTAGTTAGTTTACATTAAAAAAAATACATTAGCAAACTAGAAAGTCAGTGTGCTTTCAGTACACAAACACACATTCTTCAAATAGTATTGTCCACACAACACTGGAAACAAACTTAAATACTCACAGGTTCCTTGTCAGGCTTCAGTAGTAGTTAATTAGTGCACTTTGAAACTTGCTTTGCTGTCAAGTTTTTTTCAAAAAAGGAAAAAGAACAAAAAAAACAAAACAGTGTGTACACTGAAAGGCTCAAAGGTCTGGGAGTTGAATCTTAAATGCAAAGTCGGTTCTTGCCACTACCTGCTACCAGAGTTGGGGAAAAAAAAAGCCAGGCCCACTCCCTGTACTTAACAGCCAGGCAGCAGCACTCCCAGCACAGGGAAGTGGTGTCCTGCAGCCTGTGTCCATCACTGTCCCCCAGCTCCTTGGGACACTGCTGGCCAGCCAGGCCCAGGGAGCTGGGCTGGTTCAGCCTGGGGACGAGGCAGCTTTGGGGGCACTTGAGAGCAGCCTGCCCACCCCAAGGAGGGCACTGCCAGCAGCCAGCCTCTCCCCCTCTGAGTACTCTACACCCCATTCAGGGGAAACCCTGCCCCAGAGGAGTGGCAGCAGCACAGCAGCATTAGCAAGGCCCACAGTTCATCATGGGCTTCTTGTGCCTGCTGCAGCTGGCCTGGGGGGTAAGATGGGGGGTTTGAAACCTTGCCTGGCTCCTCTGGTGTGTGCTGAGCTGGTTGTTATGAGGCCAGAAGAGAAGAGGCCAGGAAGGCCCGGGTGGAAGGCTGCAGGTAAGGTGGCGCTGAAGTGTGATCAGCTCGGACAGTTTGTAACCCCAAACAGAAGGTTTGGCCTGTGGTCCAAGGAGAAACGGGGTGTTGGGATGTGTGTCCTCTCCAATGTGAGCTGTGCAGATGCAGGCACGTCCTTCAATAGCTCTGGCCCCAAACTTGAACCACTGGATTAACAGCATCTTGAGGCAAGCAAAGCAGCAGCGTTGCTGCTGCTCAACTCGACTGTAAACACAAGCACAGCTGCTACATGGAAGCCACTCAGAAAATGTTGATTCTAACCCAAAAATTCCAACTAGTTACAATCCTGTTTGAAAAAAATGGCACCCACTGAGGTTAATCATGCTGAGCTACAGCTATTTAATAATCTGTGCATTTTGTCTCCCCAGTATTGAGTTTGTAAGAGATGGTTTCAGGACGGATTCTCAAACACAAGGCAGCCTTTTTCCTTTGGGAATCTTGTGGCCATCAGTCCCTTTCAGGAACAAAGTCTGCAGGTACTGTACAACACAGCACAAAGCAAAAGGCCAAAGTTCAGTGATTTGAATCCACGGCAGATTCACTACTTGGGGGGGTGTTATTTCCTCCTGTTAAACAAAAGTCACTTAAAAAAAAATTCTTAGCAGCTCCACTGTTTGCAAGATAGTAGCAAACATGAACATACAGGCTTAGTGCTACTCCTGAAATATTTTAGAATACTAATTCCAAATTGCCAGAGGAATCTAGACAAAGTATTTGAAGTGATGGCACTGCCCATACTGGGAGAAGGGGGCAATTTTTTAAGGTCTGAAATGAAGGGAAAGTCATAGGGAATGACACATGATTTTACCTTCCAGAAAAAGAGCTTGTCCAGGGAAGTACAAGAGTCCACTGGAGGTATTTAAGAGTGATACAGACACAGTACTTAGGGATATTGTTCAGTTAAGCACTTGTCACCGTTAGGTTAACAGTTGGATTTGATGATCTTGAAGGTCTTTTCCAACCAAGGCAATTCTGCAATTTTTTATGTTAGTGTCACAATGCTGATGTGTAAGCACATCAGCCAAAGGCTGAAGGATCCAACGTGCAGTCCAGCTGTGGTTTAGATCCGAAACCAGGCCCCACAGTAACTGTGGCTCTACAAGCCCCCTGTCAGGAGCTGTTTCTTAATTATGCACATGCATGAGCTCTACAAGGGTTCTTACTTCTGTTGTTTGTGATTCCCAAGCCAAACAAATGCTGCTGTGATCCCAACACTGAGTCCCAGAGCCCACCTCTCTGCTGTCCCACTCCAGGGAGTCCTGTTTTGTACTTGATTGCAGAACAGGAAATGAAGGTCAAATCCTGGGCAATGCTGTTGGTATTTTCAAAACTCTTTATCATCCCAGAAAGCAGGGAACAGTCCAGACCTCCAGAAAAGCAACTGCCTCAGTGCTTAACTTCATAGCTCATCAGACCCTTGAAGTCAGGAATTTCATGGCAATGCCTCTGAAATACAGTCAGGAAACAGGTTTAGTCACTCCCTGTGCATCTGAAATGACCAACTCTAAACCTGATTTTCAAAGAATCCTGATCAGTAGGCTGAAAACCTGACAAAAGCCTGAGGTAAAGGCTACTTAGGAATGAATACTAATGACTGCTGGAGGCTATTAAAATAATGGGATTCAAAGGGATCTGGCAGGTCTCCCTACAGACTGCTCTGAAACTGCCCAAGGGCACTGCAGCCCCCTGGAGCCTCACACAACCCAGCCTGTGGGCAAGCAGTGCCTGGCATCAAGGTCACTACTCTCTTGTTTTTCACAAGCAAGTACTATACCAACCAGCATTTTCTTCGGGGCAGCTGAAGTTACCATCCCTGGAGGTATTTGACAGTGCTACAGACATAGTATTTAGAGATATTGTTCAGTTAAGGACTTGTCATTGCTAACAGTTGGACTTAATGACCTTGAAGGCCTTTTCCAACCAAGATTCTGTAATTAAGAGGTTGACTGAAGCATGTGACAGGTTAAGAGCAGGATTATTTAACCCTGTACTTGTTAGAATATCTTACTCCAACGAGTAAGTAAGCTGCTATACCTTCACTCACAAGTCTGTGATGTACTCAGGACAGGGCTTGCTGTGTCTGTATTGCATGATGTACACCATGGATTGATGCCACCAATACAGCATCACCACTGCAAGGATATGCCACACTTGGTGGCTTGAGCCGAGGTAGTTCAGCTGTCCTGCAAGGGAAAAAGAAGGCAAGTGGTTAAGTTGTTCATGTCAGCAGTAACTTGTGCAATGCAATTTGCAATTGGTTTCCTCCAAACTCAACTAGACACTCCCATTTGCTGGGAGGTAGCCAGAGTTCTTCAACAAACTTCATCAGAAGTTGTCTGCCTTCTTTTGATGCAGATACAACACTTTACTCTGGATGAGAATACTTCCACTGTCAGCCTGTCCTCTCACAGGAAATTCAGGACTCTCAGCAAGGACCATGAAGCTGCAGGAAGCTTAACTGCAGGGAAAAAAAAAAACATACCCCAGAAGAGAATTACCTACCTGGGAAGTATCTTTCTGGAACTTTGGAAATATAGAAGAGAAAAGCTACAGCAGCGATGAAGTACATGACAACTACACGTGGAGCAAACTCCTGCAAAAGAAAAGGAAGGTCTCCTGTTCTGTTGGAAGGTAAAAATAGAAAAAACAGGGAAGTCCTAAAGAGATGAAAAAGGAATGACAAAACTGCATCTTACTTCAGGGCCTGATCTATGAGCAAAATCCAACAGGGAAGCAAAAGCCAGTTTGAGCAATTCTGAATGGGAATCAAATTGTTCTGTCATGAGCTCCCTGCTTCAGGGCAGCAGCTCTTGAGTGTTTCTGTGCAGCCTGCATAGACTTGAAACCTGAAAGGACATCTTCCAACACACTCATCTTAGGCAGAAAGCCCAGGGTAAGTGAAAAGGGTGACTTGGGTGAAAAATCTCATTTACTGCTTGGGACTGCAGTCACTGGAACCCATGTCACAGGAGTCCCACCCCCTGGCTGGCAAATAACCAAGCAACCCATTCACCAGCTGCTTTGTCCTTAACAGCAAGTTTGGTTACCAGAAGTGGAACATTTTATTGAAGTTTGGAAACAAAATGCATATCACTCCTGTGGGCCTGCTACACCAGGAGAAACTGCATGGGGGAAGATGGGGGGGTGACAGCTACTGTTTATCTGGTGACCTGATGGTCAGGGGTAAGTGCCCTGGCTAAAGACTAGGTAAACTCATAAATGTTGCTCTTGGACATTCAACAGGAGCTCTGGGCTGGGTTAACCTTGTCCCCAAGGGACAGTCCTCCAGCAGGGCAGAGTCACTGCCCACTATGAGAAGGAATTCAGCACAAGCTGGGTCCCTGGGTAGCTGCAGTGATGTCTGGGCTTCTCACCCTGCGATTTCACTGTCACCAGCTCTCCTGTGCTGCTTTGTTTTTCAGAGTATAACTCCAAGCAGCACGACAAGAATAGCAAAGAGTTCAGCAAATTCCCTGTGATGTTTAACAAGGGCTGCCTGAGAGACAAAAGGCTGAGCAAACAAATATCAATTTTTTGCTGCCAACCCAGGGAACTCAAGAGAAAGCAAGTAATCATATCACCCGTGTCTTTGGGTCCCCCTCTCTCCTCTGGAGCTGTGGAGGGGGACAGCCCCGAGCACTCCTAGAGCCTGTGAGGCTGCTTCCCACCCAGCAGCCACCTCAGCTCTGCCCTCCTGCCTCTCCCCAGGCTGAGCAAGGGTGTGGCCACCCACACAGGCTGCTCAATCCCTCAGGCAGATGGATCAGGCAAATTTGTATCCAGCCTTTCATGATAAAGCGGATTTAATCTACTCAACCCACTTAACTGCTTCTCAGTAACTTTTTAAGTGCTTGCATCTGCCTGTACTGCCCTGTGCCTAAAGACATTTTAGTTCCTGTTCCTTCCTCCTCATTTCCCAAAGTGCAAAATGGCTGAAAGAAGATGGCAAGTGAAAAGCAAAAGGGAATCCTATTTCCTTCTTTTGTTTTTCCTCTCTTTTTTTGTTCCTCTTACCTGTACAATAGATGCCCCGACGCCGCCGTTGAGCCAAACCCAGTGGATGGTGGGAATAATTCCATATCCAGACACTGAGCAAAAGATGATGGAACGCAGCCTGTGCCACTGCTGGGTGAGGTAACTGGGGTGAATCTGAGCAAAAAACACTGCCAAGATCATTGCCAGCACAGTGATTAAATACACCTGACGCCAGTACTGGGGGGGAAAAGAGGAAACAAAAGCCAGTTTGTGGGTGTTCTCACCATGCATGTAAAAAGTCAGCTCTGGGTGGGAAATGTGTCACTGCTGCCAGCACAAATGATGGGGCTGGAATGAAGGGACTTGTATTTCTCCACTGACAGGGAGGGGGAGGAACACGACTGCTCAGCTCCACCTGGCACAGTGCCACTTATTCCAGCCACAGCCTTTGGCAAAACGTTTTAAATCCACCTCTGCCCCAGCAGCCTGGTTTCAGTACCTGCCTGCTGTACCCACTGCAGGCATGGATGCAATCCAGGTCTTGGAAGGGGACTCATTTTACTTGTCCTGTATTACAGGAAAATAGCTTACATGAGGCAGAAACAAGCTTATCCAGTGGGAATCGTTTCATTTACTTGAGATAGGGACACATCCCATAATCAACCTCATATGTAGGACCTGTGAAGTTTACCCTGCCTTGATATAAATTTAAATATTTTCTTGAGGCTTATGTGATCTGCAGCTTGAAAGGAAGACCTGCCTCTGCCTGTCACTCCAGCAAGCAGTGTTACTGCCACTATCAGAAGGAACTTGTTTCAGTTCCCATCTCTGTCTCCCGACCGACGTCCCGTGTGGATGTCCTGCCATGCACCCCCTTCCTAGGGCATCACAACGAGACCACAGGCACCAAAGAAGGCAAGAACAAAGGCTTCCAACTTACATTGTTACAATAAAAGGCATAAAACACCCCAGACACGTAGCAGCCCAGGATCCCAATGGAAATGCCTGCGTAGTCCAAGGCCATCCAGCGCCGGCTGGTCTTCTCGGAGCGGTGGCAGCAGAACAGGTGATACCCAACTGAGCACAGCATGCAGACCTAGGCAGGTGTTCCAAGAAAGGATCTGATAAGGTCTTAAAAATGAAGAGGGAGCAGTTAAAAATGGAAGAGGGAGCAGAGGCTTCAACTCTGAAGCTTAAGAACATGTCATCAGTCTGTTACCTGCCCTGCTGGTAACCCTACCTGGTGTAGGTCACGATGCCTTCTGCTGGTAACCCACAGAAGCAAAGGTAAACTGCTCTGGCAGGTGGAAGGAGGAAAAGACAACTTGGCAAGCTGTGACAACCCCAAGCTGTACAGCTCAAACCATGGGGCTGCTGAGGCCTAGACTGTGAGGCCCAGCCAGGAGTCAGCAGGCAAGGGAGCAGGGCCACGTCTGCACAGGGACAATGAATTCAAGCAGAAACCAAAGCTCAGACCTGCCCTTGGCACCCACCTTCTTTTCCTGAGGGAACACACAAGAAATTAAGCTACACCCACACCACTTCTTTGCTTCCAGGCTGGCATAGCCTGGAAACATTCTCATTTTTCCCTGAGAAATGTTTTTGTGTCTCCGCAACCCTCAGGAGGAGGGAAGAGCACAAGTGCTTTCCAAGCCAGCAAGGGAGTTTTCTTCTAGCTCTGCAAGCTACTCCTCAGGTAACATTTACAGCCCTCTTCATAATTTTTGGGGACAAGCCTACTTCCCAGGACATTCTGTGGTCACATAATGACACACCTGAAGTCTGCTGAGAACAGATTTCACCTGAAGCAGAAGGTAAAAAGCTGGAATATCAAGCCCTGCTCCTGCTCCTGACCAGCATCAGACTGTGGCTGCTTCTCATGTTCTGGTGGGTGACCCTTTCCAGCAGCAGTTGGTGCTGCCTGGGAGCCACATCAGACACTCCTGATCCCAGCTGAAGCTGTAAACCTGGCCTGTCACAATTGTTTCTCACAGCCTTTCTCCTACACCAGCTGTGCTCACTCCTCCCTCATTTATTCCATATATAAAACAGGTCAAAATCAACCCAACCATGGAGCTTGTCAGTCACCTCTAAAAGCAATGCAATGTCAAAGATGCTTTTCTCCCAGTTGGCCTTTCAATAAGGGCCCTATAAGAAAAAAATGAGGACAGACTTTTCAGCAGTGCCTGCAGTGACAGGGCAAGGGGTGATAATTCCAAAGTAAAAGAGGAGAGACTTAGGCTACATACAAGGAAGACATTTCTTTTTTACAAATGGTGAAACACTGCCCCAGGTTGCCCATAGAGGTGGTAGAAGCCCCATGCCTGGAAACACTCCAGACCTTGGAAAGGTCCTTGAAAGGTCCCATCCAACCCAAACCATTCTGTGATTCTAGGTCTGACCTGAGTCCATTTCACTCAACTCACACAACGTGTAGGGGGGAGAAGGGCACTTCCAGTGGGATTTAACTCTCTCCTTCTCAAAGGGGCACCCCTGAACAAGCCCCCAGCCCACACCAGGCAGCTGGCCCCTACCTGGAAGCAGAAGAGGCAGACGGAGCAGATGACAAAGTCCTCCCGGGAGGCCCCGGCAGAGGGCAGAACGGCTGTCAGGTCATAGATACCCAGCGTGAAGAAGAGGAGGAAGCCGAGCAGGTGGCTCCAGATGTTGACGGTCTCGTTGGAGAGGATGAAGAGGCTGCGAGGAGACACAAGGGGTATGGGGGGATGGGGTGAGGCCGCTGGGCCCCGCACAGCAAAGAAGTTCTTCCTGAGATTCACATGGAACCTCCTGTGCTCCAGTTTGCACCCACTGCCCCTTGTCCTGTCACTGGACATCACTGCACAAAGCCTGGCTCTGTCCTCCTGACACTGCCCTGAACAGATTTGTGCCCATGGATGAGGTGGCCCCTCAGTCTCCTCTTCTCCAAGCCCAACAGCCCCAGCTCCCTCAGCCTTTCCTCAGCAGGGAGATGTTCCCCTCCCTCCATCACCTCTGTGGCTCTGCCCTGGGCTCTTCCTGACATTCCCATGGAACCTCCTGTGCTCCAGTTTGCACCCACTGCCCCCTGTCCTGTCACCGCGCAAGGCTCGGCCCTCACCTCTTGAGGCACAGGCGGGAGGGCAGGTAGGCCCGGTAGCCGTCGGTGATGTACGGGTTGTCCTTCAGGAAGACGGGGATCACGTGCCGGGGGGGCGGGGCGCTCGCGCCCGCGTCCTTCGATCCCCTCAGCGCCAACGGCCGCGATTCCCGCCTTTCTTTCCCGGCCTTTTTCCCGGCCTTTTTCCCGGCCTTTTTCCCGGCCTTTTTCCCGGCCTTTTTCCCGGCCTTTTTCCCGGCCTTTTTCCCGGCCTTTTTCCCGGCCTTTTTCCCGGCCTTTTTCCCGGCCTTTTTCCCGGCCTTTTTCCCGGCCTTTTTCCCGGCCTTTTTCCCGGCCTTTCCCGCCTTTTTCCCGGCCTTTCCCGGCCTTCCCGCTCCTTCCCGGCCTCCCCACCCGCTCCTGCCCCGGGTTGTCCCTCGTCCCCCTCAGGAATTCCCCAGGAATCCCGGCCTCGAGGCGGAGCAGGCCCCGCGGTGCTGCCGCAGGTGGGTGAGGAGCCTTTTCCCGAAGCCCCTTTCCCAAGGATAAAGCCCAGGAAGGGGGGTGGGAGGTGGGGTGCTCATCACCTGTGGGTGATGAGCAGAAGTGGCCCCAAAAGGGGTGGAAGTGGTGAAAAAAGGGCAGCTCGGCTGGGCGAGCTGAACCTGCAGTTGGAGCTCCCATCACTGAATTAATACACCAAAACATCACCTCACTGTCACGGCAGGTGGTTTTATCCAGCAAGGAAAGGGTGCGTGTCTCTTAAGAAGCTTCTGGAGAAAAATCAGGCATTTCTTTCAGGCAGGTTCGGACAACAGAAATCTGCCTAAAACAGTGGTCAGATACAGGCATAAAGTTTAAAAAGTGCTGAGGGTTATTCTTTCGTGTGGGAGTTACACATGCACCTTGTAAGAGTCATTTCTGATTAGCTGAGATAACGATTATTAGCTTTTTTTTTCTTTTTTTCTGTGCACTCTGGATACCAAAAAAAAATTAACAGTGAAGGAGACTCTTTCAAAGGATTTGGTTTTCCTAAGAAAAGTTGTTGGCTGTTTCCCCAGTTGCTGTTAAATTTTATTTTTCCTAATAAAAAAGTGAGAAGGAAGTAATTGATCAGGTATCTGGCTCTTGTTTTCACAGTGTTCTGAGTGGTAATCCTTATCCACCTGGCCCTCCCCTCCAGTCACCTGCCATGCAGGTTTCTTTAAAGGTCTTTTGTCTTGTTAAAGAAAATGTGACCGCATTTCTCCAAGGTGGGGTGACAAGTGTGAGAGATTTTTCCCGTGGCAGAGATAGTTGTGCTGTGACATCACAGATGTAAGGGTGATGGGCATTTCAAATCAAGAATGACAGTGAAGACCAGGTGGTCGATATAACCAGCTGTGCTACGTCACCCCCAGATTCCCCTGTTACACTGTTTGGTTACCCAAATTAAGTTGATTTTGGTCAACAGCAGCTCTGGAGTATTTCTACTAATCAATCATTTTCCGAGTTGTTGGGTTTTTTTCATGTCAGTGCTCTGAAAACTCTGTTCTTCCTGCTTCTGCAGACCTGGTGATGGTTCCTCTTGCCTTCTCCCTCCTTCTCAGCTGTTTCTGCATGCTGGCTGACTTTCCCCTGCATGCACTACAGGACTGTAGAGAGTTATCCAGAGGAGCTGTGTTCACAGAAATAATTCAGCAGGCTTGGCTTGAACAAACTTCCCTGTGTTCTCACCTTTCTGGGATGTGTCTGAAGTGTGTCTCTTAAATGGTTCATTCCTATCTTAGTTCCTGTCTTTTTTTTTCCCGGATGGCTTCTCTGTTTTTCACCCAAGCTTGCTATTAAGGAAATTAATAAGAATGATTTAGGAAAGTGGCACAAATAAAATGCATTCTGAAAGAAGATCTATAGTTTTCTGACAGGATGGGAGAGCTCCAGCTCCTTCTGCTGGCTGGATTCAGGGGGAAGCACAGACTGTCCCTTCTGCAGAGTCATGTTAGGTGCACAGTATCACAGAACACCTTGTGGAGGTGAGGTGAGGTGAGTGGTGTGAGGCTGGAAGGTGCACAGTATCACAGAACACCTTGTGGAGTGATGTGAGGCTGGGGAAAGCTAAGCTGGGAGCTGGCTGGGCATGAATCACATGGAGCAGGGTCACAGGAGGTCTGAGAATTCAGGAGGCCAAGTTTACTGACAGCAAAATCTTCAGGGGCCACAAAGGTGTTACCTGATAACTTGCTCAAATGGGAAACGATTCATAGGCTGTCAGTGTTCCTCTTCTGTGGTGGAAGAGCAGTTAACACTTAGCTGACCTGTATCAGCTGTTTTAAAAATAGGAAATTGCCCAATTTTGGTCAGCCTGGTGCATTTGGGAGCTATCATCTCTGACCCAGAGTAGTGGGACCAAGCCAACAGGGTTGATACCTACACGGTGGCAATCTTTTTCCTCACAAGTGTCCCACTGGCTTTTTCTCTCTGCAGCGTGTGCTTGGAGAGGCAGGGAAATGATGTTTCTGCAGACGTGTGCATTTAAAGGGATAAGGGTATAGAGCTGCACCTTAATTCAGGTGAGCAAACTCTTGACTCTCTCCAGGAGCTTCCCACTGCCGCGGTGAAAGTCACAGGGAAGCCAGGGAAGTCACATCACTGCCAGCTCCTGCTGATACATGAGGAGTTTCATCGTGCTCCATCAGTGATTCACTTGTGTCAAGCCAACTACTGTTTAGAAAGTTGCCATCAAGTTAAAACCTTAATTAGTCTTAATTGTCCATTGAATCATTAGCTCGCTGAGAACATTATACCTGGGAAAAAAAAGCACTTTGTTTCTAAGCCCTCTGCAATTTAAATGAAATCCTGAGAGCTTCAAAGAGTTCAGTCAGAAGGAATGGGAGCTGACAGCACTGTTCTTTTTGTAAAAGGAGCTTTAATTGTCTGTTAAGTTAAAGCTTTGAAGCTTTGATAGGAGAAGTGTTATAGTTTAAATTAATAGGGAAAATTGAGAAACAATTGGGGCAGCTTTAAATTAATTACTTACACTATTTATTTTGAGCTTATTGAACAATTGTGTTGTATGCATAAGCAATTGAAATTAGCCATCTGTGCACGATAGCTTTGACCTGAATTGACCTTCTTGGGTAAGTAAGTAGCTTGCCCTAATTCCAATACTGTATCCCTAATTTTACTGGCAGATAAGCTTAATTGGGAGCAAAGATGAATGTGCCTGAGAGGTTCCATACTTTCCTGTTGGAACTTTTCTGTTGGAACTGAACAGAATCTGTGGTAGGGAAGGCTGTCAGAGAGACAGCTGAGCTCAGCTTTTTTTTTTTTAACCCCAACTCTGCCCTGTCTGCTGAGTCCCATTCTCCTGTTGCCAGCAGCCTTCCTGTGCAGTGCTGTGATCGGATGTTAGGTCTAGCCTGCTAGTTGAGGAAAACTAGGAGAGAACAACACTTTATTTATACTACTGTGCTGCCAACTCTGTAGTCCTGACAGGATCTTTTTATGTCCCACTCCATTCTGTTGTGTTTTTTTCAAGGAGCAACAGATAGCAAATTACTTGGGGAAAGAATTATCCAAACGAAGTGTCTCAAATGCTCAGGACAAAATGGGAACAACAACAACAAAAAAAGTATAAAATTGTTCAATTTTGAAACTGAAAGGGCGAAAATATTCTTGATGCTGATCTTTGAGGCTCCCTCCAGGTGTCAGCCTGGCACTGTGCTATCTGCTCGGAGCAGGCTGGCTTCCCTGGCTGTGGTGAGGCCCCTGCACTGCCTGTCTGATGAACAGGGAACCCACACATACCCTGGCTGGGATTCTCCTCCTGGCACTGTCACTTCTTGCAGACCTGTGTCACATCAGGGCAGCGCTGGTATTCCTGAAGTGGCTGTGGCTCATGGTTTGATCCTCTTCTTCTGAACTGCCCAGCAAAACACCTCCTCCTGATTATTTTTGTGTGTGTGTGTGGATCTGGCTTTTTATATATTGGTGGCAGGCAAAGGCATGAGAGGTGCCCTGGGGATCCTTTTGAATTTGGCTTGTTCCAAATTTTCCAGAAAAAATTGTTTAGTGCCCAGGGTTGAAATCTGTTATTAGTGTGAGCTTAGTTGAGAAAATGTATTTGGGAATGTTGGTCGAAGGTATCAGGTGTCTTCCTGATACGATGCTTACAGCTGTGTCAGTGTATAGCTCAGTTTTTCTTTGCCTGTGATTGAAAACAATTATGTTTTCCCTGGGGAGAAGAAGGAGGTGTATTTCAGAATACTGCGTTCAGAACTGTGTTTCAGTGCAAAGCTTGTGAATAAAATACAGGCACTAGTTTATGACCACAGAGACCATGTATTTATTCATGTGCATGAGGCACTTTTGGTTCTGTATCAACATGCAAAGAAAGCTTGCAAAGGGCCATGTGTAGAATACCTGTTTGCTGACAGTTACCTCAGGAGATGGAGATACTTAGAACCCATTGTCACGTAAAACGGATCCTGTCTCATCTTTTCTTGGAAATACCCAAAGCATCTGTGAAATTAACTACTGGATATGCAGTGGAGTTGCATGTAAGAAAATAAGGTTCATAGTTTTGTGGAAGTCAAAGAGTCTTTGAGAGCGTGTGTGTGTGTGTGAAGAACAGGAGACCTGAGACACCCCCAATTAATGGACTCCCTGAGTGGGAGAACATTAAGAACTCAAGTATCCTGTGTTTGATCATTAGAGTGACCTTATTACTACAAAAGCTTGATTTCGAGACCCTCTTCCCTAAAGATACATCTTTCTTCCTCACATTGTCCCCGCTAGGATTGTTGTGGTGATGTTCTCTGTGGTTTCCTGTAGCACTCTTCTCAGAGCAGCTTCCAGGAGTGCCCAAAACAGAACGTGTGACATCTGCTGTGGGGGGTGCAGCCACTCTTTCCTCTCCTCAGGGAGAGATGCATGTGCAATGTGTGCAGCGAAGTGACTTCTTTTGGTAGAGCCTTTGCTTCATTTTTTTATTATTATTTTTTTTTCCCCCTCTTTTTTTTGGCATTTTTGTTTTCTGATTCAATCCCTTTGGCTTTCAGCTCCGGCTTCTGAATTTCAGCATCTGTCAGTGGTGCGATAAATTCTCTTTGATGATAAGAGAACAGCTGCCAATAGCAGGAGCAAGGATGGCATTTGGGCTTTTTCCTGCCATGCAAGAGCTTACAGTCAGCAAAAATGCACTGTGCAGACAATGGAAGAAAGCACCTCTTCTGACAAGCTTGCTATTTTTTTTCCAATTTAGCAGCATCTTTTCCTTCTGTATGAAGCAGAAAAACAAATTGTGCAGCATGGTAGAGTCCTGAACCTAAATAACTAGAATTAATCGACAAACTTTTTTTTTTTTTTTTAAAAGGTTCTGAAGGTGAAAGTGATGAGGGGACAATAAAGGAATTAATTTTTTTTTGAGTCATTTTCAGGGAAAGGAAGAAGCTATTTGGAAACCTGCTTAATCATGTGGCACAAAATGTGCTCCCAGTGAAATTGCTAGGGGAAAAAAAAAATTAACTCCTTTCTGTGGAGTTCTGAATTTTAGGAGCACAGGGTTCGGGTGTGGTGTTTGGCTGGTTTTTTTTCATACTTAGAGGTCTCTCTAACTCCAGCTTGCCTATAAAATTTTATCACAGCTGGAATTCATGCCATGACAGAAGGCATTTTGAGACAAACTGTTTTGACCACAGAGGTTTTGTTTCTCTAGCGTGGTGAGTTTGATTTATTTATAATGAGGGTGAGACTCCAGTGGACAGCTTTGGTCGATACGGTAATTTCACTCTTGGAAAACCATGTGGGTTTCCGACTTTGCTAAAGTAAGAACCAGACCATTCCTGTGAAAGTCTGAGTCTCCCCTCCCCTGGACAAAGTCTGACTGCAAAATTCCCAAAAGAGGATCGTGTTTCTAAGACACTGTTAAAAGTCAAAATAGCTGTAGTCCTGCAGTTGTGGTTTTACATGATTGTAATTTCTTGAGCAGCTTGTCAATAGAGCATGAGAAAGAGAAGAGAGGCTGGATTTTCAATGATGTCTAAGCATGTTTTGAGCTGTGCAGTCACTTGGAGTGACTTCTTGGTGTCAGGGAAATTAGGAGCCCTTTCCAACACTTTTATTGTAAATCCACACTGTTGGTGTCTGACCTCTGTAGGTATTTGAGCGTCATTGTAAACTTAACAGGAGACACATGTTCTCATTTGGCTCTGATGAGGATCTGTATGCCTAAATTGATTTGACCTTTTTTCAAATTTACTTCCAAAATCTAATGTACTCTTAAATTTGATCTGTGAAGTGCTGCTCCAATCCCAAACAAGGTCTGGGTATTTGGTATTTGGGATCGTCTTACTGCACTTACTTTTGTTTTGTTTTTCATTCATCTGCCAGAATGAGCACATGCAAATAATGATTTTTTTATTTTTTTTTCCTGGCTGTGTTGCTAAATGCCAAAATTTCTGCTAAGTAGCAGTGATATAGCTTGAGAATTGGAAATGTTAAAATAAAGGTTTGCCTTGCCTCCAAAAATGCTTTGAGACAGAAGGATTTGGGAAACAGGAAGAACAATGACTGTCGCATTTTGCTGACTGCACTGTGGATATTGTTACTTGTCTGCCAGGACTGGGGTTTTCCCCTCACTTGTTAGTTTGTGTTAGGAGATTTTATGTTTTCCTCAGTTACCTTGACTTCTAAAATTGAAATCCTGTGATCTTCTGAATATATATGGTTCATCTTCTCTCCGTTATCCTGGTTGTCTGTCTAGTTTCTTTAAGTCATTGAGACATTTAACTGCAAAGTCGTATTGGGGAGACAATGTATTAAGAAGTACTGTCAAGTCAGTGAAGAAAGAAGTACAGTATAGCTAGCAAAACCTTGTGATATTTTTTAATTTATTATTTTGTAAGGTCTCTTGATTGTCTACTTTTTATGCTAGTAGATGTCCCAGCCTCATCTTGATGTGAGGCTGGGAGCCCTAGGATACTTCTTTTTAGCAATTACTTGGACTAAAAATTCTGTGTGGAGGAG